TTGGACTTCAGCTCCCAGAATTCCTGACTTGTGGCCAAGCTGGTTGAGGCTTCTGGGTGTTGAAGTCCAAAACATCTGGAGGACCAAAGTTTGTGAATCACTGATTCTAGACTGTGACTACCTCTTTACCTGGATTTTGCATTGTTCCAGCTGTCTGCTTACATAGCTTTGACAATGATCAGCAATTCAGATAGCTCACAAGGGATTCAATAAATCTGTTTTTTCTATTCATCTGGAACAGGAAAATTAATGGTTTTCAAGTAAGAAACTTGAAAACCCATAAGTGGGCTACATTTGACTTGTTGGATTACAACCAATACAGACATTCCCTACTGTAATATGACCAATTTATGTTCTTACAATCCTCAACCACCTTAATCCCAATCTGCATTGAACTTTTATCCTGGGACTCATGGAGCAGCAGTTGCACACTTGGAACCAAAGAATCAAATGTGACTCGGGATGTGGATCATGATAAAAGATTACAGGTAAAACAGGCATTGTGTTTTGTTTTGGTTTTGTTGCGCTGGTGGTGGTGTCCAATAAAGGCAACATCCTATCTCGTTTGTTTATATTAATTTTTTAAAAAAATAAATCCAGTTTAATCCAAGGAGTATAGAGCATATTATGATAAAATTTAACATGCACTATCAGAATAAAAGGTATCACATGGCACATGGCCTTTATACCCAAATTTATTCGGAACCATTTATAGACTACAAGAAATTAGTAACTGCTCATGTGACATGCAGTTGGATATGCTGCTGTGTTAAGCATTTTTATGCTGTAAAAGAAGGGAAATCATTGTCATATTAACTGGTTCAAACAGCAGATAATAGGTCCACATAATCCTCAAATCTTCTCTTTGCCTGAGTTTCCCCCCCTCTTCCCCTTCCCCATATTAATATAAATTATTGTAATTATGCTTCCAATCTCTATCAGTATTTGTAAAATTTTAGGAATAGGAACTGGTTTCTAATATGCAAGTCTGTTCTTATGAAAGCTAATTTATACATTTAGTGTAAGCTAATACTTCCTGTATTTTGGCCCCAAGAAGTTATCTTCCCAATTACAAAAGAAACCAATTTGGCTATTAATTACTTTCCAGCCACAATTTAAGGCATTCTTTTTGTATCCTTCAAGAACCCTTAAATAGACAATGTTTGGAGTATAAATAGAGGAGCACTGTACCTCCAATACCAATGGATAAACAAAAGAAGAGAGCCATTTTCTTAGTATTTTAAAGAGGAGCTAGTTTTTAGACACAAAACACACATTCAGAGGTTTCCAAAAATTATGAGGATAGACCAGGGGTAGGCAACTTTTCCCCTTTAAGGGCCAGCGGACTTCAGCTCCCAGAAGCCTCAGCCATGTTGGCCAATAGTCCCATGTTGGCCAAATAGCTCCTGGGATTCTGGGAGCTGAAGTCCCTCGGCCCTTAAAGGGGAAAGGTTGCCTACCCCTGGGATAGACCATTGTGTTTTTTTTTAAAAAAAAAAAAGGTTATAAGAAAGAGGAATACATTCTTACAAAATGTGGTATTTCAGACATCTGTGATTTTGTGAGAAATCCAATGTTGTGTTTATTGCCAATTGTCACAAATGCTGGTCTTAAGAGATTCTACAGAATCTCTTCATCATGTTTTACCCTGTTTAAACAAAAGTCTAAATCAAGAATTAGAATTATGGAGAGAAGAAGGAGACACCATCAGACATGCAAACTGGGCTTTATGGTAGATTTGATCATTAAAGGGGAAGAAAACCCACATCTAATATTTGGATCAGTTCCCCCCCCTCAAAAAAAAAAAAAAAAAAAAGAATCCCAGAAAGAATTCCCAGAAAGAATCATTAATACAATACAAAGAAATATTAAGTTGTATTTGGAGATGCGTTCAATAATTCCATACTGAAATGAGGCATGTAAGTATTTCTTTAAAACATAATTTTAAAAACCTCCCAAATCTTACAGAATTTGGGGTTTCCTACTCCATGTCTAAGAACATTATGATTAAAATTCCACGCAGGATATTCCTCTCCTAAAAACAAGTGGCAGCCAAATTTATTGTGGAGGAAAGTAGAGGAATGAAATATTAAGAAAATGGTTGTATGCCAAAATGTCATCATCCACATGCACACATATGAATGCAAACACTTTGTCATCATTAAATATTAATATACTGTACATAGTTGGCCCAGAACATCTCTCGGCTCTACTCATGAAAATAATAATCTCTGGGGGAAAGCTATGAACATAAATGTATTATGTGCAGTATTTGAAGATGGGAAAACCACTTCCACTGAACTTGCAAAAGCAATACCTTATGCAAGGCCTTCCTTGCTGCAGAGAGGATACTACTCTGTTGCCAGTTTAGTTGTGTTCTGAATATGAACAAAAGGAGCACCATATTGTTCATTACCTCAGGCAGCAAATTGTATGGAACTGATTCTAATAATTTAAGGGGTAAAAATGGATGCTTTAAGGTAGAGGGAACCTGTCAGCATAGGTTTACAACTTGATCCCCAGACCTTTCCCCTCCGTTGGTTTCATAGTTCCCCCAAAATTCCTTTCAGCACTAGGTCTACCTAACTCCACCTCCTCTTCTACCTGTTCTCCTTTCTTTTCTTTTGCTATCCCCTGCTTTCTCTCCAAATACCAAAATCCCTGAATGTCTCCCTTTCTCTGTACATCCCTTATCAAGCATCTGGGATTTTCACCCAAACAATCCTCTACCCCTTTCCAAATTTTCTTTCTTTTGTGCATCTGGGATGGATGGATAGATAGATAGATAGATGTGAATATTGTATTTTGTGTTTACAGGATTATATTTAAAATTATTGCAAAACAATCTATATTTTTCTTGTAAGCCACACTGAAATCTCCAGATCAAAGCAGTCTATAAATGTGCTGCTTGTTACATGTCTTGAAGCTGACTCTGGTGGTTTTTGTTTGTTTATTTCATTTTTGTTTTGTTTTTTTTTGCAAGTTTTATTCAGAGGGCATTTGCTATTGGCTTCCTTTTAGGTTGGAAGAGACTGTGACTTGTCAAAGGTTACCCAGTGGATTTCCATGACCAAGTGGAGATTCAAACCCGCCTGGTCTCTCAGCAGTCAAACCACTACATCAAGCTACCTATAATCTATATATATCTATAAACAAATAAATGAAAGAATACATGTACAATACCCTTCACCTTCTCTCTAATAAATCTCCCTTTTCTGCACATCTGGGATTGTTCTTCCCAGCTGAATGCATGGCATCACTGTTTTCTTAAAGGAACAATGTATTCTAGCAGTGTAATTCTGCCCCTTTCCACTTTGACAAATTGCAAGTATCTGTTATTTGGTCCATTTTAAATTAATTTCCCCAGCCAGGGAAGGAGAGAGAAGAGCTTGAAGGTGCCAAATAGTGCAAATTGAGTCCACTTTAAGGGTTAGGGTTAGGGTTAGGGAATCATGGGAACTGTATTTTATTGTGGCACCAGAGCTCTCTGACAGAGAAGGCTCAATATCTCAGGAAAAAAACCAGTTCCCATGATTCCCTAGCACTAACCCTAACCCTAAAAGTGGACTCAATTTGCACTATTTCTGGCAGTCTCCCCAGTCCAGCCTTGCTGTTGCTGTGTGCCTTCAAGTCATTTCCAACTGATGGCAACCTAAGGCCCTCTGTCACAAGATTTTCTTGCCATTGCTGAGAGAGTGTGACTGTCACCCAGTGTGTTTCTGTGGGGATTTGAACCCTGGTCTCTAGAGTTGTAGTCCAGTGCAGAAACCACTAAACCACTTAGGCTTTCCCAACCAGCTTTGAGCGCTATGCAATTTCCTGTTATTTTTTATTGGATCTAAATACGTAACGACAAAGAGGAGAGGGGAGAAAAAGGAGGATATGTTCACAGATTGGGTATATACATTATGGTGCTATGTATTGGGATGAGGTGGGTGTCATAAGCTGTTCTGACTCAACCAGCAAAATCTCCTGGGCTGACCGTAGTCTTATCTGGAGCTGAATGTTGATGACTAAAGAATCAAATTGCATGCATCTTCCAAACTGCCCTCCTCTGGATCTTCAGTGGAGCTTGGGAATTTGAGCTCAGGGATGCGTCCCAGTGGTTCAAACTTGCAATGGGGCCTGCCTGGTCCTGGGGAGAACGTCCAGCCAGGGTTCAGCTTGTCCACCATCTCCTTCCTCTGGCCAAAGGAAGGAACTACAAGGTGACCAGTTGGCCCTGCAAACAACCAGTCTCTGCAAAGCAATAGAGGAAAGTCAGGGCAATGATGAGTCCAAATGCATGGGGGGGGGGGGAATAGGCAGATACCTTGCCATTCCTTTTAAATCAAAGCAATTGCTGTCCCTGTTCTAGGGTCTGCAAAAACATTGTCTGACCATTCTCATAAACTCCATGCTTCAAAAGTTTTCCAGAGCTTAAAATTCTCTCTCTCTCTCTCTCTCTCTCTCTCGTTTCTTTCTTTCTTATTTTGAGCATCGATAACTCTGGAGACTTGAATCCCCATTTAGCCATGGAAATCCACTGGGTGATCTTGGACAAGTCACACTCTCTCAGTCTCAGAGAAAGGCAAAGGCAAACCCCCTCTGAACAAATCTTGCCAAGAAAACCCCCTTTAGGGTCGACATGTTTCTAAAATGTCCTAATTTCTCTCTCCTCTTCCCCCTTTGTGTTCAGCTTACTTCCATTACTGCAGACTGTGTGTCCAAATTGCAAGAGTAGTTTGCGCTCAGTTAATTTAGCAGGGGAAAAGGACAGGAGAGAGCAGAAACTTGCCCTTCCCTGTAGGCCCAGACAAAAGTAAATTGCTTCAGCCCTTCCTAGCTTGTCTAATTTATACCTTTTGTCATTTTGACCACACTCTGGTGTAGCTTGGCTACTCGCATTCCAGCTTTCAAGTGTGAAATGTTGGAGGGTATGCCATACGAAATACTATCTGTCAGATAGCTTGACCCAAACCATATAAGGGCTTTGTAGATCATAGCAATCAATTTGAATTGTGCCTAGAAACAGAGTGGCAGTCAATGGAGCTTTTGCAACAAGAGAGCTGTATGGTTAAAAAAGCGAGAGCAAAAAATGAAAAAAAAAATCTCAGAAGTACCTAGAAGTTCACTTCTGATTTTGAAAAATGGCCAGTATTTAAATGTGAAGCTGTGCAGGTGTCCAGTAACCTGTTTAAAGGTGGACCACTATTCCTGGAGGCTTTCAGAAAAAGCAAAATAGTTCACTACCATTTTTGGGGGGGGTATCAGAAAAAGGGTGGTCTGCACAGTTGGGGCCAAGAGACCCCAAAACCAACTGTGGGGCCGCATGTGGTCCATGGCCACACTTTTCCCATCCCTGTCCTAAATGGTTAGTGTATTGTACTGCCATCTTGGCACAGACACTCCCACCCAAATGCAAATGCATTAAACTGAACAGTTCCACCTGGATGTGATGAAGGAAGAGAGAACGGGGAGGGTGGGCAGTCTTTCCTGTTAAGGAAAGAAGGATTTTGTTTCCTGTCTAGTTAGAGATTTGGCATCTTTCAAAGGGGAATACCATCTGTTCCAATACAAACACACACACTCCCACCCTCACAGAAGAAACCGATTTCCCAGTAAAGTGTCAAAAGATAACAAAGTCTGTTCCAACAGAGCTCATCTGTTTATTGCCTGGGGGGGAGCCCTTGGCTGATAAGGCATTGACTGTTCCAGCCTGGACTGTTTAGTCAGCTAATCAAATTTTGCAATGAGTCAGAGCTGCCATTGGTATCCATTTTTCGTTAAATCGCAGAGGTTTCATAGCACTCAGCTGTAATGGTTTGAAATAAATGCAGGCACTAACTCCATTTGCAAGCTGGACTGGCCACGTCTCTAAATTTGCCTTTCACCTGCTCAGATTATGTTAACACTCGATTCTCCCTGTAGTTTTTAAAGTGTGTCAGCATATTATTCAACATTTCACAGATGAAAATAAGAACACATATAGCTAAAAAAATCAATGTTTAGTTAAGAGGGCAAACATTGTTAATGAAGAAGAACACACAAGCAAGGAGAGGCTGCAGCAGTCTGCTTTTGCCTGAGCTGACTGGGAAGGATAAGAGTCCATCCCTCCTCTTCCTTGATTTGGCTGCAACAAAGGGAGAATGTGGGAGGAGAAATTAGGACATTTTAATAAAATAGTGGCATGGCAGGGGATTAATCAGGACAGTCCATGCCAGATCGGGACATTTGGAGGGCATAATGTCAGCAAAGACACTTCTTTGTTTGAATTGACATGGAGTGATTAAGGTTGAGTCTGAAATGCAAACTGTTTTCAAACTATTTAACTGGCTGCATCATGCAGGCTGTATTTTTGTAAGCAAGCAGGTTGTTGGTGCTGGTTGTGTGGACAACTCCAAGGATCCAGAAGCCCCAACAGTAAGCTGAGTTTTCCTGTCAGTGAGGACATGTCTGTGGTGAAGATACTACTAAAAACTCTGTCCAGCAGTTATGTCTCTTAAATGACTTTTAATAAGTGTGAGCTCTATATTTCAGACATTTTATTGCACCAAGAGACTCAGCACCCATCAGATGACCAACTGAACTTATGGGCATCCTTTTGCAATATGTTTGTCAGTAAGATGTGGCTTCCATTGTTTGGAATGGATCCAAACCTCACCAAGACCTTGCGCTAATGAGATCCATCAAGCCAAGTGAGGTAACTATCTCCGACATCTGATCTTAGACATCATCAAAGACAAGAAAAATATTATTTAATATATTATTGCTGCCATTTTATTGTCAAGGCAGGGAGGAGAACCTTGTGGGATTTTCCCATCTCAGGAAGAAAAAAAAGTTGGTCAGTTTTAGGTGCTATGCATCTTGTTATGCAGTTCGCTGCACTGTGTCAAGCATCAAAGTATCTTGGACAGACGCTGCAGTAAGGTGGCAGGAGTTTGTAGTGTAGAAGTAATGTACCTAGTTACTTTCAGGGAACAAAGCAACATTGCAAGAGCAATGCAACTAGTAAGCAAATATACTTTTTTGCTGAAATGAGTGATGGTTTCCAGATACCTGCAAAAATGACTTTTGAAGGGCATTTTAAGATGTCCACAAGAACTTTTCAAGTTTTATGACAAACTCATGAATCTCAAGGGTAGGAGTTCTCAAAAGGTATAAGGGAATAATGGAAAAGTAATTCATAATGCAACATATATGGATGATGACACTTGCTCATTGTATTGAGTTACAGTGAAAATCTTTTTTTTAAAAAAAACAAAAACAACAACTGGATTATTTTTTAAAGTAACTTTCTAAACTTTGCTCTGAACTGTACCAATTTAAATATTCAGAAATGAAGGGAGAAAGAGAAGCTTGTAGACTCTTTTTCTGCCACAGAAAAAAGCAACTATGGTTTGCCTTTAGCCCCTGGGGTGGTGGGATTTTTGTTTTGTCTCATGCATGCCTTTAGACATGCCTATAAGGATTAATCCTATTCCTTCCCACCAAAACATGCAAAAGATGGCCTTTCTGAATTATGGGGAGCAAGGTGGTCAAACCATAAGCATCACTGGTTACTGAACACTGGATGTCAGGCTGTATCTTCATAGCTAGCAACAACACAAGGGACTGGTTGTGTGTCCTTACACACTCCTGCCTCAGGGCTGAGCCAAACACAGGATCAAGACCATTGCATCTGACCCTTTTTTTCTGTCTGCCTTTCAAATTAATTAAGCCAGGAGCAAGAGGCTCAGAAGGGCTGATGAAGCTGTGAAATTTTCTGTCGAAACCATCTTTCAACTCCTGCCAAGGGCTTCTGTGGAAGTTGGAGATGATTTAGAAAGGTTGAGAGGAGGCCAAAGAGCGAGTAATTGAATAATCCAGCCCAGATAGGAAACAGCAGTGAGCAGCAGAGGCAAAGGCTTGTGCATCCTGAAATGTTATCCCTGGTTTCAAAGCTTGGAGAGGAAGGCTAAAATTGCAGGCTGAATCCTTAAGACAGAATAAATGTGTCTCTCAATTGTCATCTTGCATGAGGGGAAAAATAACCTAAATGCCCAGGTTACTGCTAGGACCAAATATAATGACCCTATAACCTGCTGTCACATATTTCTTCACTGATTGACAACTCCCTTGATTAAATAAAAATAAGAAGACACATTTGTCTTAGTTCATTGAGGTAAAAAGAGGTCTTTGGGAGTATCAAGTCACAAGTAACATACCTGTTTACAGTTACTATTTGGAGGCTAGTGGGGGTACTTTTTGGAAAGTAGTAAAGGTACAACAAAAGCGACATTTCAAATGTAATCCAACTAGTGGAAGCAAAGATACTGGTGGGGTTGTAAAAAGTTACTTTTCAGAGTAGCAAGGGTAGGATAAAGTTTTGTTTCACAAGTAATGAAACATGAGGCAATGACAACATGGGGTGGGTGGGTGAGTTGGAAGCAGTTACTATGGGAAGTTGAAGGCTTTCACGGCCAGCATCCATAGTTTAGGTCAGTTTTTCCAGAATGCGACCACATAGCCTGGAAAACCACAGAAAACTATGGTTACTATGGGGTTTCAAAAAATGAGGGGTTCCTCAGCAGCATATTGTAGTTTAAAGATCTTACTGCCAATAACTACATAACATCCAATTCTCACGATTTGCCAAGAACAGTCGCAATTAATCCCACAATGTCAGCTGCTTTTTTAAAAAATGTCCCAGTTTCTCTCCTTCTTTCCCCCTTTGTCCTCAGATTATTTTCCTTGGCTCAAACTGCTTTCAAAGTGCAAGAGCAGTTTGTACTTAATGAACTCATTGGGGAGAGATGAAAGGACAG